AAATTTTTTTTTGCTGAATATAACAGGGTAGTGCCACTTTATAGTTTAAATTTAATTTGTTTGTTATTAACATTATTGTCAAATTTTTAAATGTTTTTTTAATAAGAATGTTGTTTATAAGAAACTAGTTCTAAATCATAAAAATTTATATATATATATATATATATATATATATATATATATATATATATATATATATATATATATATATATATATATATATATATATATATATATATATATATATATATATATATATATATATATATGTATATATATATGCACTTTTTTTTTTTAATAAAAAACTAGTAGAAACTAGTCCTAAAATCAAGAAACTTATTTTTTTCCAGAGTTTAAGTTTTCACCTACTTATCACATTAGCATAAATTAAAGTTAAAACCAAGCAATATCTACAATTGAGAATAAGATTCTATCACCTTCAAGCAAAACATAAGATTCTAGCTAGATTTTGTCTCAAGAAAAATCTGTCTCTAGAAAAACAATCATCAACACCATAAAAAGTTTCTCGCATTAATACTTTCTTTAAGAAAGACTTTGAACCTCTTGCTGAGGTAATAAGCAAATTGGTTGCAGTTGATGGTCTTAGTTTTAACAAAATTGCAAATAAAAGAAAGAGACTTGATTAAATGATGAGTAACACAATATTCAAACACTAAATTGTGTTCTGCTTAGAAGAGCATTTAAATCAGATGGTTACACAAAAGTCCTCAAAATATCAGAGTTCAATTTATGGCAGAATATGGTGAAACTATCGCCAATATTAAGCAAGACGTTTGAAAGATTTAAGAAGGAGGTCGTTTTTCTATTAGCTTTGACGAATCCACCTCAGTCAGAAACCTTTGTTTTATGAATCTGAACTTACATGATTTAGATAGTTTTCAATCACTAGAAATGATTCATGTCAACAGAAGCATGAACACTGAAAAAGCTATTCAACTTGTTAAGTCAAAAATTCTAGTTAGAATTAAACAACAACATTCTAGCAACAATCACTGATGGTGTGAGTGTTATGATGAAATTTGGAAAAAAGACCAGTCCCATTCATGTTGGTTGTCTTGCAGATGCAATCCATCTTTGTGTTTGCAAAATACTTTATAAATCTCATAAGATAAACAATGATTTAATTTATGGCAAAACTGAAGAAGAAGAGGATTATGAAGAAACAATAGTAAATGTGAATAATTAAGCACTGAGACAGAGTTTCTGATATTGGTCCTATTGTTGCTAAAATTTGTAAAATTGTTTAAGTCTTAAAAAGTACCTTAGTCAGTAATGATAACAATCTTCAAAATATTCAGTCCTTTGGAAAGGAAAATGCTTTATTTTTAGATTGTAAAACACGATGAAATAGCCTTATTAAAATGTTATGAAGATTTTATGAAGATTACAAAGAAGTTAAAGTAGCAATGATCCATCTTGAACAAGAATTTGATGTTTCCGATAAAGAATTGGAGAAGATTAAAGAACTATGCGATGCTCTTTCTCCCATTGAGATGGCTGTAGAATATTTATGCAAGGAAGGTGCTGATCTTTTACTTGCTGAAAAAGTTACTAAATTTGCTGCTAAGAAACTGAATACCATTCTTCTGAAAAGAAAGGACATCAACACAGAGTGTTAACCAGGAATACATTTGATACAGGGTTTTAACGAAATTGGGAATTTATCAAAGTATTTCTCAATCACCCCCTCCCCTGAGATTAAAATGTGTTGTGGGAATGCATGGGGTTCTTTTTTGGTGTTCTTTTTTTTTTCTACTCTACTTCAGCGCTGCATGCATTGATTGATCAGCACCAAAAATAAAATAAAATACCATCTGTATCATTAAAGATGAATATGAAATCAACACAAAATTAGCTGTTGTTTCACGATGACACGGCAAACTAAGAACTGATTTCCAAACATATATTAGGAATGATATTTTTTTTATTATTATAAAATAATCAGTGTATATTAATTATTATTGAGAATAATTAATTTGATTTATTTTTAATCTTTATATATTGTCGCCGCTTACGTTGGAAGAGTATAATTTTGAATATATATTTCTTTTTCAATGTTATATAGTAAAATAGCGATCTCTAATGAGCCAATGACCTTCTACTTCTAATTATTGTTTAAATTCTGCTCAACATACCTTACGGACGAACCCTTACATCATCATGTAATAAATTGTGTCATCAAAAGAAATTTTTTGAAAATAGATAAGGTTTTAAAAATAGTAAACACAAGCTCATAAATTTAAATGTTTCACATTTATTGCGAGTTCAATTTTATAATTAATAATAATTTATTTTATACATAAATCACATAGCGAAATGAAGTTATAATCACAAAGTCTCAGCAAAAACAACAACAAATGTCGTTTAATTATAGAGTAATATTATTAGCAAACAATTACATGCGTGTCATCATAGAATACCAGAAAAAAAGTAAAAAACTTTAGCAAATTTAGTTAATATATAATACCAAACAAAAAAAAGAAAAGCAATAACTAAGAGACTTTCCGTAATAACCGTAATTGATCAAAAGGTATCTGACATAACCTTCTCAATGTTTTTGTTGACGAAATACATGTACTACTTAAAGTTGAGTTTACAGTAAGACTTAATAAATTATTTAACTTTTTAGCCAAAAAAAGCAAAGCTTTTAAAGAAATAGCATTTGCGGATGTTAAGCCAAACAACTTTGTTATTATTTTGGATCTTTTAGATTAGTACTTTATTTCTTGCTAACTTTTTTATATAATATTTGCTGTTGTTGGAATGCATTGCAAAAAACTATTTTCAAACTTTATTCCAAGTTGCCACAAAAATCGCTCCAAAAATCCAAATTCTCATGTTTTTTTCCAAGAAATCAATTTTCGTAGTTATGCAATTGCGTTTTTATACCAATAATGGCGATTTGATTTCATGTTTTACGCAATTAATGAATTAGAATTTTTTTATGTTTTTTTTCTATTAGTTTTGAATAATAATTAATTTTAAATTATTTTTAAAACTATTATTAAACTTTAATTTAAAAACTTTATTTGGAGAATAGGATTTTTTCATCTTTAAATTGGGAATTTTAATTTCATGAGCATTTGGGAAAACCGCGTTTGACAGGGCGCCACAGGGCTAGTTTACACCCTGCAACAAGTCTTGCTCTTCTAAAAAAATTTAAAGTCTGAATTCAAGAGAGAAGAGACACTAATCTTGTGCACTTAATACAATATTTAAAATCTCCAGACACTTTAGAAGAGCAAAGTCATCAGTTTGGTCTAAAAATAAAAAAATGTAATATAATATCTCTGGCTACTTCACTTTTAAACAGACTTTGTTCACAGAAAGCAGGTTAAGAGCTAACAGTTGATTTTGAGGTTACTAGTATTGCCTGATCAAACATTTAAAAATGATTTTAAAAAATCTCTTAACCATCATAACCAGTAGTATTTGCTAAGAACTATTTTTCTAACTTATTCCTGTCATCCCAAAGATCCACTGTTAGACATCCAAATTACTCCTGCTTTTGTTGCTAAAGTTATTTCTACTTATACCCTTACCACAGTCTAATAATAAACTATTTAATGAATAAAACTGTATCTTGTTTTTCTTCCAGCTGGAACATCTGTAGTTCCAATTTTTAAAATTGGAACTACAGATAAATTAATAAATTTCTTATATCTTACCAACTATCTGACAATCAATACAATACAATCCTCTCATCATACTGCTGACTAAGTGGTAAAGCAAGGTTGATATATTAAAAGCTTACGAAAGTCTAGCTTGCTGGTTTATAAGCTTGCATCATATGGTGTATTTAGGAAAGCTTTTAAAATTATTGGATTATTTTCTAAGTATTGAAGTTGTCCTTGATGGACAACACTCTCCTTTATTTCAAATAATTTCTGGGATGCCATTGAAAGTCCTATGTTGCTCTATATCTTTATTAATAATATTTCTAATAATCTTAACTTTTAAGGCATAATTTGCTCATTTCATTACTATATATTCCTGTCTTGACAAAAAGTCATCACTTTTTGATAGGTTAGAACTGATTGCCATGATAAACGGCAGCACCCATACTAAGTTCTCTGCTTTACATCTCAGATTATCATTCGTTACTGACCTTTCATGGAAACCATACATATGATCTATTGCTAAGATCTGTTTAGGTTGCTTCTCTTTATTGTGCTTGCCATATGTTTACTCCTGATTCCATTCTCTACTTATATGAAATTCTTAAAGAGATCACAAACCGCTGAGACATGTTGTGTTCATATTAAAAAGAATGATGGAAAAAAATATTTCAGCTATATTTTTTGATTAAAACAAAAAAATAAATGCATACCAAGAAAAATTTACTTTTTTGCTCACCTCTGTTTTGTTGTAGACCAAGTTGTCTTTATAATATACGCTGCAATCTACAGACTTGATAATTTATTCAAGCACATTTTATTCCTAAGAGTTTTAGTACATGACCTCATTGATTTTTTTTTTGTTTGAGTACATAATTGATCTTTTAAACAAACAAAAAAATCAATTACATCATGTAATAAAACTCTTAGGAATAAAATGCACTTAAATAAATTATCAAGTCTGTAGATTGCGGCGTATATTATGAAGACTATTTGGCCTACAACAAAATGAAGGTGAGCTTTGACTAAAACAAAATGAAACTTTAAATGAATTATTATGAATTAAATGAATGAATTATATGAAAATTTAAATGAATTATTATGCGATTATTAGCAAGATGAAAACTATGTTTAAAAAAAAAAAAAAAAAAAAGGTTAAAAAGAAATTAATAAGCAGCAAAATTTTTTTTAATTTTATTTAAAAAAAAATTTATTCTATAATGACACAAGACTTGATATTAGTATATATATTGATATTATTATTAGAAATAGTTAATGATTTGAATTAGAACTCTAGATAGGGGTTAGATTTGACCTGTATGGGTGCAGATAAAAGTTAAGGTTTAAACGATTTTTGTACAGGTTATGGAATTGGAAGCAAGACTTTCAGAAATGGAAAAAGAGGTTGAAACTGGTAAATATTTTATGTTATTATTATTTAATCTACTTTAATTAGAAATGTACATGCATATGGATCAATTAAATATATGTATATATATGTATGTATGTATTAAGTAAAAATATGTTGTTGTTTTTTTTTGAGTAAATAATTTTTAGTTTCTATTAACATAATTTCATTTATAAATACTTTAAAAATAAATTTTTTTTAACAACAAGATTGAGTTGATATCATAAAGAAACATTAGACAATAAGTTTTAAGTAAACTAAGCAAAAATAATTTTTTTCATTGACAAATGATAAATAATAACAAGTTAAGCATGGCATTACCACCAACCTGGTGGGAATCAAACTTGATACTTTCTTGCTTACAAAGTAAGTGCTTTACCGTTACAACATCAGTATAACAATATGATATTGCAACAGTTTTATAGAATGATCATTTTAAGTCAAAAAGTTTTAATAATATTTATTATTTTATTCAATGATTTGAAATATTTATTTTATTTTT